TGTGTTATTATTACACACATGTTTATATCCTGTTATTATTACACACATGTTTATATCGTGTGTTATTATTACACACATGTTTATATCATGTGTTATTATTACACACATGTTTATATCCTGTTATTATTACACACATGTTTATATCGTGTGTTATTATTACACACATGTTTATATTGTGTGTTATTATTACACACATGTTTATATCATGTGTTGTTATTATTACACATGTTTATAGCGTGTTATTATTACACACATGTTTATATCGTGTGTTATTATTACACACATGTTTATATTATGTGTTGTTATTATTACACATGTTTATAGCGTGTTATTATTACACACATGTTTATATCGTGTGTTTTTATTACACACATGTTTATATTATGTGTTGTTATTATTACACACGTTTATATTGTGTTATTATTACACACATGTTTATATCGTGTGTTATTATTACACACATGTTTATATTATGTGTTGTTATTATTACACATGTTTATAGCGTGTTATTATTACACACATGTTTATATTGTGTGTTATTATTACACACATGTTTATATCATGTGTTGTTATTATTACACACGTTTATAGCGTGTTATTATTACACACATGTTTATGTCATGTGTTATTATTACACATGTTTATATCGTGTGTTATTACACACATGTTTATATCATGTGTTTTTATTACACACATGTTTATATCGTGTGTTATTACACACATGTTTATATCATGTGTTTTTATTACACACATGTTTATATGATGTGTTGTTATTATTACACACGTTTATATCGTGTTATTATTACACACATGTTTATATCGTGTGTTATTATTACACACATGTTTATATTATGTTATTATTACACACATGATTATATCGTGTGTTATTACACATGTTTATGTCATGTTATTATTACACACATGTTTATATCGTATGTTATTATTACACACATGTTTATATCATATTATTACACACATGTTTATCATATGTTATTATATACACACATGTTTATATCGTATGTTATTATTACACACATGTTTATATCGTATGTTATTATATACACACATGTTTATATCGTGTGTTATTATAACATGTTTATACCGTGTGTTATTACACATATGTTTATATCGTGTCTTATTACACACATGTTTATATCATGTTATTATTACACATATGATTATATCGTGTGTTATTACACACATGTTTAAATCGTGTATTATTACACACATGTTTATATCGCGTATTATTATTACACACATGATTATGTCTTGTGTTATTACACACATGATTATATCATGTGTTATTATTACACACATGTTTATATCATGTATTATTATTACACACATGATTGTATCATGTATTATTGTTATCACACACATGTATAAATCGTGTTATTATTACACACATGTTTGTATCATGTATTATTATTACACACATGTTTGTATCATGTATTATTATTACACACATGATTATATCATGTGTTATTATTACACACATGTTTATATCATGTATTATTATTACACACATGATTATATCATGTATTATTGTTATCACACACATGTATAAATCGTGTGTTATTATTACACACATGTTTATATCATGTATTATTATTACACACGTGTTTGTATCATGTATTATTATTACACACATGATTATATCATGTATTATTATTACACACATGATTATATCATGTATTATTATTACACACATGATTATATCATGTATTATTATTATCACACACATGTATAAATCGTGTTATTATTACACACATGTTTGTATCATGTATTATTATTACACACATGATTATATCATCTGTTATTATTACACACGTTTATATCATGTGTTATTTTTACACACATGTTTATATCATGTGTTATTTTTACACACATGTTTATATC